GCCCAGTGCAATACGTCGTCTGATCTCTTGACTGCTGCTTCCGTGAGTGTTGATAGTTGATCCAAGAAGAATGAAGTCCTTGACAACCTCAATCTTCTATATGATAGTTATTTGTTAAAATGAATTTCCAGTGTAAAGAATTTTTAATAGTCTGCCAGAAAGTGAAAATCATTATACAGTATCAATATCACATGGGAGTAAAATTTTACTGAAGATAATTCTAAACAGTTGTTAACTACATCAGAATGGAACTGCCAGACAGGCTTGCAGAATGCACCCTTTGGTTTAAATTATTATATATTCCTGAGTGTTGCTTTGTACATCCCCTTTCCTCCCCATCCCCAAAAAAAGGGAAATGGAAGCAATTACTGTTGAATGGTGATGCACGGAGATTAGAACTGCAATGAAATGGTGTAAAGCTGATATTCTCCCATATAAACTATCACTCAGCTCACAATAAAAAGTTAAAAAAAAAAACTGCCAAAAATTCTAGCTGAATTCAGAAGAGAATATGGAATTTAGGGATATCAATGCTGAAAGTAGAAAATACAAGAAAGATGTTTACCTGTGCTTTGTTGACAATGGAAAGGCTTTCAACTGTGTAGGTCTTAGCAAACTGGATAACGTTGCAAAAATGGGTTTTCCACACCACGTAATTGTGCTCATGAGGAACTTGTAAATAGACTAAGAGGCAGTTGTTGAAACAGAAAAAGGGGAAATTGGTTTAAAACCAGGAAGGTTTGTGTGCCAGGGTTGTATTCTTTCACCATACTCATTCAATCTGTATGCTGAGCAAATCATCAGAAAAACTGGATTATATGATGAACATGGCATCAAGATTGGAGGAAGACTCATTAACAACCTGTGATAGACAATCTTGCTTAAAGCGAAGACATTTCAAAATACATAATGATGGCAATCAGAGACTGCAGCCTTTAGTATGGATTGTAACTGATTTAGAGGAAAAGGTCTCAACTGGACCAATAAATGACATGATACATGGAGAAAAGATTGAAGTTGTCCAAGACTTCACTTTGCTTGGATCCACAATTAACACTCATGAAAGCAACAGTGGAGAAATCAAAGGATTTCTTTCTATTTGCATTAGGCTAAGGTGCACCTGACCCTAGCCATGGTATTTTGAATAGACTCATAACCATGTGAAAATTGGACAGTGAGTAAGGGAGACTGGAGAAGCATTGAAGTATTTGAATTACGGTGTTGGCATAGAATACAGAAACTACCATAGACTGCCAGAAGAGTAAACAAATTGGTATTGGACGATGTACTGTCAAAATTCTCCTTAGAACCCAGGATGGCCAGACTTCGTCTCACATTTCAGACATAGTATCAGGAGGGACCAGTCCTTGGAGAGTATGTCATGTTTGGTTAAATGAAGAATCGATAAAAAAGAAGACCCCAATAAGATGAATTGACACAGTGGAGGCAGCAGTAGACTCAAATGTATCAATTGTGAGGAAGGTGCAGGACAGGGCAATGTTCTGTTGGGCTATGAGTCAGAAGTGACTTAACAACAGCTGGACTTTGCTACAGGAATTATAACTGAGAACATGGAAGAACAGCCCATATCCCTTTGATCTCTGCATTTCATATTGAAACTGGATGACCAGTTTTCTGAATTTTGTTGCTTTCCGTGCGATTAAATTCAACTTTTGGAACCATTGTTGATCTTTCGGATAGGAAAAGTAATTAATACAGAATTCTTTTGAAAAGCTGATTCAAAGTATAGACACGCCAGTTTAGGGTGTGGTGCTGTAAGATAAGCACTGGGCAGCTAACCCCAAGGTTGGAAGTTCAAACCCACCAGCCACTCTTTGGAAACTGTACAGACTGACTTGACAGAACTTAAAAAGTATATGAGTCAGTCATACTTCGAAAGCTCTTAATGCAAAAGCACTAGTTACCAACTTGTCAATCCCATATATGTCAGAACTCTGTTGCATAGGGTTTTCAGTGGCGATTTTTTTGGAAGTAGAATACCAAGCCTTTCAACTGAGGTATCTTTGAATTCAAATTTCCTGTCTTTGGGCTAGCAGGCAAGTGTGTAGGCCATTTGTGCCACCCAGGGTGACAACGCCAAAGCACAACCTAATTACCATAGTAATTCAGGAGTTCGAATTCTTGTCAACAAGAGCCAGCTAAATATGTATTTTTTAATGGAGAACCTTGGTGGTGCTGTAGGATAAGCACTGGATTACTAAGCACAAGGTTGGCAGTTCAAACCCACAAGCCACTCAGTGGGAAAAAAATGGTTTTCTGCCCCCTTAAAGGTAAATACATCCTCAGAGATCCTACACAGGGTTGCTATGAGTGGGAGTCAACTCTGGGTTGGGTGTTGGTTTGGTACCCTATGTTCAGAGGAACCTAGGAAACCCAGACTTTGAATTCTCTCACCTTTGAAATGATTACAATATTTTGGAAAAATTAGTTCAAGAAAAACCACCCACGGTCATCATTGTCCAACTTTTATGAAGGGGCTTCAAAAAGTTCATGGGAAAAATGTAAAAGATAATGAAGTTTTCCCGTGAACTTTTTGAAGCCCTCTTGTATTAATCTTGGGTTGCATGCAATTTACTATAATTGCAAAGAGGGAGTGCAGCCAAGCATAGGTCACAAAGAACAGAAGGACTCTTGGTAAGGTTCTAGCTAAGTAGGTCTGGAATGGTCTCACCCAAGAGTCCAGTGTACAGTGTCTGCTCTCCACCCTCCCACCCCCAGTTTCTAGTAAGTGATCCACCTTACAGAAACTGAAAGACCAAAAGCCCTCCTGAGAAGTGGAACTGAAAGTGTGAGAGATTTATATCAACTAGCAATACGTTATCTTCCTAAAAGGGGGAAATTATCTGAGAAGGCAAATTGGTACATGCCGTTGATTCAGTTCTGACTCAGTGACTCTACAGGGTTCCCAAGGAGCAGCTGGTGAGCTTAAAAT